TCACCCCACAATAATACGATCTAGTGGAAGTCTTCTGTTTCGTTGACGGGCTCTTTCTTCCGGCACTGAATATAGATTGGCCGACGTGGTATAGCAATCTCTTAAATTTGCTCTCGGTGGGGCAGGCATCCTCCAAGGGATAGTAGGCGTCTGGTTTTAGTAATACAGATAGGTTGCATTGGTTCACTATTCGAGAGCTGAGTTTGTACGATGAGCAACGGAATGAAGGGGTGAGTTTGTATTGCGTAGACTTTCCTCTGGAGTCTCGTAGGGTAAAGTAAATGACAACCGAAAAATTAAGACAAGTGAATGGAGATGAGAAAAAGAAAAAAAGAGTATAGCAGGCAAGGAAAGGAAGAAGAAAACGTGCAGGGTTGAAAGTCAAGAGAAGGTCGTAGATATAGAAAACAAAAAATGGTAAAAAGGGGAAATGGAGAAATCGAATTTCCAAGCCTTGACTACTTGAGTTCAGTAAAGGTCTCTGCATCGAATCATCTATCACATGTGAAACTTCGCCAACAGAATAAGATTCCGAATGAACCTGTCATGACCGTCTCGAAGCGACACGCATTCTGCACTAACCCGTGAAAATCGTGAGCGGATCCCAGCCGAATTGACCTTGAGTGATAGCGGGTGGCTGATAATTGTTTCTGTTTTCGTGTTGGCCAGTTGGGTGTGCGTAGGTCAACACGAAGTGGCCGTAAAGGTGAGCATTGAAAAAAGTGCCCACATTTCTTGGCATCAGTTCTTAACGCAATTCACTTGCGTAAAAGTATATTTTTATCGTTTTGCCCTCAGATGGCAGGAAAAAATTGTCGAATAATTTTACGTCCTCACACCTAGTAAAATAGACCAGCCATTTTGAGAGATCGGAAATAGGTAGAAACTTACTAGCTCTCAGAAGAGGAGCTGGTACGGATGAAAACACCAGCGTTGAGAAGATAAGTTTTTACCTTTAATTTTTGGTTGGCTATGAAATAAGCTGGTCTCAGGGGTTCGTGGTTTAATTTTCGGGCTAAGTTAGTGGAATTAGAATAATCGATGAGTGAAAAAGCTTTTGACAAGATCCAGGCTACTTCTAGGAAAAAATGACTGCAATCATCCTTTAATCAGTCATGAATGATTATATTATGTTGGACAGCCCGTTCGATGAGGTCGGCTGTCTCCGATTGTTCCATGCTCCCAGCCAGAAACTGTGCAATGTGATACGTGCAAAATGCGGAAATACCACGGTTTCTCCAAAAATGTTTCCATGTCTCCATGTACCTCAACAGGCTGGAACCCTTGGTTCGTTGTGCACGTCAATCGATTTTGTTTTGTTTGACAACGGAAGGAAAAAGTTCAACTTAACAGCTTCTTCTCAGAACCAAGACAGGACATTACTTGCTAACCAGAGGAGACTATTGCCGTACCCAAACTGTTAACAATGGATTTAGACTCGTTACCAGACCATCTCCGCTATTTGCGGTTTATGTAAATATGTGAAAGGAGAGACCTGACTGAAGACAAGTTAAAACTTAGGAAGAAAATCAACATACCGTCTTGCGTTTGTAGTGAATTCAAACTGCGAATCAACTGTAAAAAACCGTGGTAGTTGATTGTAAGCTGCAGAACTGAGACCTACCGCATCGGAGGCCCAATCGCTTCACTTGCTTGGATAGCATGAAACCTTAAAAATGACTCAGACGCGCTGCCGTCGATATTAAGAATGCCTGGAACGCCAAGGGTGTGCGACGGACAGTTTGGACATGGAATTCTATGCTTTTAAACTCACCTAGTTTGGTATTTATCCGGTCGCTTACCCCTAATGCACAGAAATCGGGAAAAACAACTTATTTTAGTACAGAGGCTTGAAATTGGAACGATAACTGGCTTTTAGTCACTTTCTCGTGAGCAACAGTGCCAAGCGATCAAAAACTCCATGAGATTGCGTAGGAGAAACATGGGTTGGTTTACCATGCTTGTACGAGTTATTTGAACAAAAGAAATATCAACAGGTAATGCATCTGTTCTCACCTGCACATGCTGCACAAACGAGGGGCGAAATTTAAAACGTTCATGTTTGCTGGCCGCATGTTCACGAGCTCTCTTCAGGAGTGACTGTAGTTCGGAATAAAAATTTCCTTGCATATACGTTGTGACAGTAAATCGAGTTGAACCTCTGTTGCGACAGTGTCTCCTGAGACCTGCTAGGACGGTGTCAATGGAAGTGTCTTGTCACTCAGAACACTTCCAATGGCTAAGAGCTACCGAAATGTTTCCAGAAGTTTCACACACTTTATACTCAAACTCCAGCTATTTCAAGCCTACAGTGACTTAGTGGAGCGACCAGTTGGTTAGCCTTATCTCTCGGCCTAAAATGTTTAAGTAGACATTTTTATACTATGGGTATACTGTGCGATTACCTTTGGGAGATCCTCTATTCCAAATTCCTGAGGACATCAGCCCAAGAACCAGCATGAGGCAATCATGACAGTTTCCCTATCTTCCGAACCTGTTACTTCAGAGAAAATTCACGTAATTGGTTCAATCATTTGTACAGCTCAACCTTCTGCAAAGTACGTGCGCAGTTTCCCAGAAGTAATATCGTTTGTCCTAGAGAGTTATTATTGAATCTATCAAGTAGATGAACTAAAAGAAAATTTGCCTTAAAGACAGTAAGAACTAATAGCTGTTAGGTTCCGTTCTTAATCTGCTCTCGATACACTTATGTTTTAGACTCTCTCCCAACTGACGGTGACACCGCTTTTAGCAAATTATTCGATGCACCCATATGTGTTTTAATAGCTATACAGGGTTCCTGAAGCCAAGTGAAATTACTGGGCGTTCAACTACCTGTCCCACAAACGTTTGAGGATATCCCTGAAATTAAGTGTGCGATCGCGATGCGTTGAAACTTTTTATCTCATTTATCTTCTGCTGCTATTGTTTGGCGCTGAGGCATTCCCCTTAGTGCAGAGTTAGAATTCCAAATATCCAGCTTGTAACCAAAAGGCGCATCAGAGTGCAACAGTGGACTATCTCTTTACTCAGAAGTTACCACTAAATCGCTCCAAACTTACACTTGACAATAATGACAGAATCATGTGGTGAACGTCATTAAGGAATTATGGGACATTCCCGAAACAACTCTGCTTGGATGACCAAACTTCATTTCACTTAGGTGGAGTGTTCCGACTTAAAGACAAAGTGGAGCTTCACGTTGCTCGGAGTCAATAAGTATCAACAGTCCAGCAATATATTCTTCTTGTTACAAAGGGTCCAATTTGGATAGTTTCCTTTTTTGTGATATTTTCTATATACCGCAAGGAATCAATTAGGTACAGACGTCATAAAATATGAGCGGTTGCAAAGAAGACTCTAAACTGGCTATTTAATCGCCAATCTCACTTTGATATCCGACCAGTTCCAATAGTCGTAAATAACTTGGCCTAACGATCATATACCGTGCATTTTTATGGTATATTATCTGTGCTGGGTCCTTATAGTAATATTGTTGTGATTTAATTCGGAGTTTAAATTTCCTGCAAAGAATGGGGTTATAAACACCAATATCTAAATGATACATGGAGAGATAGCCTACAGAGTTAAAAAGGTGGCACTTTTTACAATTTAGTCGATAGTCCAGTTAACCGCTGACCTTGGCACTCTAGTTGTTTATCAAATAATTTGGCCAAAAACTGAAGATGGTTTGATACCAAAACTGGCGTCCGTAATGCCGTTTACTCGAGTCTGAACCATGGTGTAGAAGGGGTACACAGATGGACTGAACATTTATCTTGACCCTCAGATAATTTTTGTCGTGTCACAGTGAGTGACTTTGTCGGCTCACCATCAACTCCTTAGGCTTTTCCCATTGTTTACTAATTTAACTTTAATTACACCACGTGATGAATCTGGTGTGTCTAATATAAAACGCATTGTTGAAAATAATGTTGTGAGTAAACGCATGTCCGCTATTCTGTTCACACCCCGTTCACATGTAATTTTCCAAGGTTCATACGAATGTTTTAGACATCTTGTAAACGTGTGCATTAATTTATACGGTGAGTGCGGAACAGAAAGGATAAGAAAAGATCAATGTTGGCTTAAAGACCAAACAAACCTACAGGAAACAAGATATTGTTCACCAAGGCCTGTGAAACTGAAAACGGGTTCTAGCGTTGTCTTCATTTTTAGCTGTATGCGAGCAATGCACTTGTCATTGCTACAAATCACTCCGATTGTTTTCAATCGTTTTCTCATACCGATCATCAATCTTTAAAAAGTGGAGTTTTGAAAAGCATCTAAATTCTCAGGTATTTGCTTTCTCTCATGAAACCAAAGAAGTTGTAGAAACCCCACCAAACATATTACCGACTTGTATTTCCAAACCAGTTTTATTCAGGCTAATTTTTTTAAGCAAGGAAACGAATTAACTAGCATGTATCATCTCGTTTCATGTGATTTTTTGTGAATACCGCGAGTGTCGAAAAAACGCACAGGCTGACTGTTGCCTGGGATTCGCTTCAAAATTTTCACTACACTCTTATTATTCTGGTCAAGTTGTTTGCCGAGCACGACAATTTCGTTTTGAGCAACGCGACCACCAACTAAACAACAAAGCTGGCAACATTGCCGTGTGTCAAAGAGCTAACCCGATTCTTGTCCTGCGACCAAAAATTGCGAATAAATAATAGGACTCATTCTTAAGTTATGTGTGGTTCTTGTCTGTCTTGGAACCGAAGCCAACCTTGAAGGAGGAGGTAAATTGCCGTTACACATTAGAGGGCTGCATAGCGTAAACCGGAATTCTACTCCTTGGTAGTTACTTTTGATGACTTTTTGACACTTAACAGCTGGCTAGAGTGACGTCAGAATGACCTAGTGCCTAGATAATTCGATTTCTTTAAATATATATCTAATACTTGCTTGTCCATTATCGTTTGACTCGAAAAATAATGCAAACTTTGAAGTTTTGAACCGCTAACATCTAACCATATACGTGATCATTTTAGCATGTCAAACCCTCCAGATGACCAACCATCGGGAGGCACTTACAAGGTTTCCATGAAGCGAGAACTGGGTTTGATCAACGGTATCTCTATTGTTGTTGGCACAATCATTGGCTCCGGAATTTTTGTGACACCTAAAGGAGTATTGGAATCATCCGGATCCTCCGTAGGCGTCGCCTTACTCGTATGGACCGCAAGTGGTGTCATATCATTGTTAGGCGCCCTTTGCTTCGCAGAGTTGGGAACAACAATCACCCAAAGTGGTGGGGACTATGCTTACATCAAGGCAGCATTTGGTGATCTACCTGCATTTTTACAACTATGGGCAAGTTTGACTGTATTAGTATTGTTATTTCTACTTCAACAAATTAGGCACGTCTACCATCATACTTGAGTTTTATCATTCCTAGAAGCAATCAAACACAAGTATGCCAGTTTTATCAGTGGGAGTTAAGTTGAACGTCGTTTCTACAGCCCCCACTTATCAGTCCCCTTTAATGCCAAGCACGTTGTTAGCAGCCATCGGAATCAGATATCTGCGAAAAAGAACTCTCTAAACTATTTCCGGTAAATCGTCAGATCTTATAAAATGATGATGAAATGTCTGAGATAGTTTCAGTTAGTCTCCTAGCACGTAAGTGAACGCAGGGAGTGCAGCGTCTTTGGTTTTCCCATCAAATACAGTCTACTTCCAATTCTTTGGCGTACTCAACCAACATAAATAGGAAGTTTGAAGGAAATGCGAGGAAATCTCTCCTTATTGTTGATTTTGAATCAGTTTTGGAATACTTTCCCTATCCAAAGATTCAGCCAGGTCAATATTTAAGTTAAGATGGTATGCTTTCCTTTGTAAGCAGACTGAGAATTAACAAACACTTACTGACAAATTTATACCACCTCTGTCTTATTTGTAACTTATCGGGTAGCTTTCTCTCAGAGTTTTATTTTGTCTTTTTATTCCTACTGGAAACCGCTTGGTTTTTGACCTCAGTCTGTCGTATCTGAGATCCATTGGGGACGTCTCGGTCAAAGATACGTTAAACTATGTAGGTTTCCGGGTTTGTCGTGGGAAAAACCATAGTCTCAAGAAGGTACTAAAAAAGTCAATCTTTTCTAAGCGGAGGAGTTACTTAGCTCTGTTAATGTTGAAAATCGCATGGGTGGTTAAAATGCTGTCCAACTTGTTAAGCGTTTCAGGGCATTTATGATTACCGGTGTTTCGTTTATCCCTTATACCATTTGAACTTTCTGCATTATCTAAAAGTGACTGACTAAGTCACCGTGCATACAGAGTCAGTGGCTGCTGCACTAAGATGCATTTTATTGCTGAACACGACCATGAAGGGGAAAAAAACAGGCAGAAAAGGACTGCGGACGTTCTGCCGTTTAAGACTTTAGACGTGCTTCTTCTGAGACGAAAGAAGTCTTATCACTCATTTCTCTGCCTGAGTCGCAGAGTATCAACCTGCCTACGTCTGCAAAATAGAACTGCTTGGCCGAGTCTGGCTGGTTATAGAGGAAGTTAGATTACCAAGTGAAAACACATCAGCACCCCCTGTTTAAGAAAGTTGCGAGAGTTCCGTAAAACTGCATTTCTGGAGAAGCGAAATTCTAAACTTCAGGTTTTTGGAGTTCAGATAAAAGGCTGATGTAAGATTCCTGAAGTACTGAAGGGGTATAGTTAATTTCAGAGGTTTGCACTAGTATGTGTTGGTTCTAGATGGTGCAGCATGTGGACGATCTTCGCTCACAGTATAAAATTATGTCACAAACTTTTGTTGTCAAATGTGTCAAAGTTGTCCGCCGAACATATTTATCCTTCTACTGTTTAACGTAATGTACATAAGGAAACATACGCTTCCTTAGTAGGCCTTTCTGAGTTCAAGCCAGCCTACAAATTTTATGGGACAGGCAAAAATGTAAAACTTGAAAGTTTGCCAAGTAAAAATTAGCATAGCCGTTTAATCAGAAAGCCCAGGAGAATTAGTTCATCTCATGAAAATGCCCAGTGCATTACGTAAAGAAGAGAACAGGAACGAATTACTTTTCAAAAAATTACGTTATCAAAACAATAATACGGTAATCTAGTTTGGCCCTTAAAGCTCAGCGCAAAACAAACAAGATTATGACTGGATGAAATTAAACAAGTGACATGTAAAACACAAGAATAGTGAAACGTAAAACGCCGCGACTTATGCCGTTAGCTACATTAACTAAAGTTTGCATATTGATAGGGCCTTCAAGTTACTTCTGGAAGCCCGGGGTAAGAGGTTACTTACGCCTAGGCAAGAGTGATTCAAGTTACAGGCAAACATCAATAGTATAGAAGTTAAGGCTTTAAGCTCATGAAACACTACTTCCAATAGACCGTGGTACCCGTCCTCTTGTTCAAATTTAGGTAGAAAATGAAACAGAATCATATAACAGAGTTAACTTAGTCATTTTTCCTAATGCGATGGTGAACTACCTGAGTGAAGTGGTATCATGCATGCTTCGGGTAATACGACGCTATTGCGATACACCACACACTAGGGACCCACAGGCTGACAGAATTACATAAAAAGAGTGTTTTCATTCGTCGTCAGTTAGATCAAACTTTCCAACCGTCAGGATTGGATTAAAAGAAAAATTAAGGAGATGATAAATGGAAGGGTGGTAAATTAGCTGTATTACTAAGCGGACAGTTAAAATATCAACACATAGAGAAGGTTGCAAAGACAGATCCAGCCGAATGCATGAACGTCAGCGATCGGCATAGAGCAGTGGCATGTCTGTTACTGATTAGCTCTACACCATCAAAGTAATTTAGGCCAGAAAATTTATTGACTGTTGGTGTTTATAATTTGCTTTATCGGTTTAGAGGAGAAAAGTGCCTGCCGTTGGATGGCTGGCAGGACGCACAATGGTGTCCAAATTAGACATGCGTAATTTTTTGGGCATAAACCGCTAATCACATTTGCTGGCATACAAAAAAGGTACAAAATGTGTGTATCGAGGTTAGTACCGCACAGAGTGCAAGTTGTGAGGATAAGATTGTGGAGATTTTGTTAACCTTTCCTCCAAAAATTAGCGCACAGGACTTAGGTTATTGAGATTTCTGAGAGGCCATTTGGAAAAATTTTAAAATATGTTAAATTTTTATTTTTATGGTTGAAAATTGCGGCAAGATTGCCCAGTTTTTATTTTAACGCATGAAGTAGCCTTGAAATAGCCTTGCCTGTTAACATTGGACGTCCGCGAATACTTCGATGATTGGTCTGCTCAGAGATAAACGTGACACCCCATGCAGGCCACTAATGCTGATGTCAACTCAAGGGAATCAGATCTGTGGGTCGGTATAGGGAGATCTGTTGCAAGCTGTGGTCATCTGACTCAAACATGATGGCATAACAACATGCACTGGCATCAGTTTGCCCCTGGGTTGTCTTTACCATAACTTCACTTGAGGTTTAGTGAAATAGCCCGTTTTCCTCCCTATTTCATTCCTTTAATTTAAGGGTAGGCTGTTTATTAGATTAACGTTACAGTGACGCTTCATTTTTATCTGCTTAATGATATTCTCTGTTGGATAACACTTTACCAATCACGATGTCTGGGCGCCTACTATGAATCACTACCAGTCAAGTGGGTGCTTCGTATTAGATGAAGGTGAAAACAATGAACCTATGTATCTCTCTGTAGGTCAACTTGGTAATCATCCGTCCTACGGCGCAAGCGATCGTGGCACTAACATTCGCGAATTATGCCGTGCAACCGATTTTCCCGACTTGTGAGCCTCCTGTCCTGGCCGTTCAGTTCTTGGCCGTTAGTTGCATCAGTAAGTTCGAGCTACTCCCTTGACATTGACATATCCAATATGAACCCAAGTGTTGCATTTTAACATACGGACATTTTCTCAGTGTGAGGCCACAAAGTATATAAACGTTACTCATTCACAAAGACTCGCTTTTGTTGCTCAGGTTGTTAAGATCATCACCGGTCGAAGATCGCTCAACCGTGCACAATACTCCTTGGTTCTAGAAGAAACAAAACACACAAATTATCACTAACGTAAAACGATGGTCTTAATTTTATCTATTGTGTGCATGACTGAGGTGATAGTTCAGCAGTGATTCCACGGGTTACGAGGACAGCTTGTACCGAATGAACTGGTCCGACTCCGATAATATTGAACTTCATACGTTCCGGCTATGTACTTGGATAGTTGGACATTAGCAAACCGTTATGGACTGATGGAGAGTATAACAAGCAGGTGTCTCATATGGCAACTCACGTACTGGTTGTTGATCAGACGGCACTAGGCTTGTGAACCTTTCGTCATGTGAGGGGACATCATCAGTGCGCGGCTGAAGAAGTTTCTATGAAAACTATACATCAAAATTTTGCGATTGTTACTTTAAAAATAGGTAACATTTTTCAGTGTTTGCCAGCATCTATGAAATCCTACCAACGATTAATTTAGCGACTACAGTGTTAATGAGATACCGCTTGTTTATCCATCACCACCTCAATGGTATGTTACTCGGCAGTTTCCGGTAGCACTTGCATGCTGCTATTCTAGAGGAGGAACATTGTTACACCGAAAGTTAAAGGCACTGGCGAGTGACGCCAGTATGCTGATGACAAACAGGTAAACAGGCACCAATGAG